GAACTCCTGAGCTCAAACAATCCGCCCGCCTCGGCCTCCTAGAGTGCTAGGATTACAGGCATGAGCCACCACGCCCGGCCACGAAATTTTTTTGATGACCAGGTTTCACTACCTGAGTGCTCTGCTCCATCATAACATCATTAAAAATGGAACAAGACACCAAGAGTGAGCCTTAATGTAAACTAAGGACTTCGGGTGATAACGATGTGTCAATGCAGATTCATCGATTGTAATGTATGTACCACTCTAGTGGGGATGTTGACAATGATAGGCCGTGCATGTATGGCGGCAGTGGGCACATGGAGATTTTTTGTATCTTCTGCTTAATTTTGCTGTGAACCTAAAATTGTTCTCAAAAAATAAAGTTTACTAAAATAAAAAAAAAAAAAAAGAAAAAAAAATTGGGACAAGAAGGCAATGCATGGTTCCTGATATGATATAATAACAAGTCTATAGTTAGACTTTGCTTCTAAAGTATTCTTGCAAAAAAAGTTGAACTGGAATCTAAGCAAGCCTTTGCTAACTGCCATTTTACATGACATTCAAAGAAAGGAACAAATTCAATACCACAAATAAGTAAAAAACTCAGTCTATTATTTGGGATCTTATATACAGAACTGAACTGTTTCTTCAAGTCATGCATGATTCAGAAAAGGGGGCTTTGGGCAGGATTGCACTAGATTAAGACATTTAATAAACAAAACAAAAAACAACACAAATATGATGGAAGGACCTTCTTTGAATTTTGATAAAGCAATCATAAAAAGACATTTTGAGACAATCTAAAATGAATGTCATATGATACTGTTAATTTTTTAGAAATCATCTAACATGCATTTGTCTAAAAACTTCCGTAATAAAAAAATTAACAGTTCACCAGAATGAGAACCAACACACTAACACTACCATGAATAAAGAAAATTCTAAAAGTAGAAAACTCACATGTTGGTACTACTGGTGGAATCGCAGGGGGTGGTACAACAGGTGGGGGAACTGGAGGTGGCATGAAACCTATGTGGAAAAAGAAGCCCCCCCCAAAAAATAGCACAAGAAAAATTACTTGTTTTAAATCAAAGATTTCAACAGCTACAAGTGAAATTCCACATTCTTAAAATGGACTTTTATTAACATGATCTTGTATTTATGGATACATTATTTTAAAAATGCCTTTTATATATGCTACCTTATCTGATCCTTAGTAAGGCAGGTAAAGCAGAGAGATCCTAATCATAGGCACATCCTGTTTATTAATATTTACTCATTCAAGTCCTGTGTCATGTTCTACAACGTTATAAAATCAAAGACTAATAGGAGCCAGGTAACCTGTTTATATGCCTGAACAGCGACTGCATGGGAAAGTTAAACATTGTATTTCAAGCTATTGATTGCTTGACATTATATGCAATAATGTCATCTGTCAAATATGCCATTTTATTTCTTTGATACATATGCTGTTTACCCACCAATCAAAATCTCTTCATTAGCCTTGCATGAGATATTATGTTTTAAGCATTGAAATAAAACTTCAATATTGACTTTTTAATATTTTAAATATTAAATCATCTAACTATAAATCTGTTCCTCTGCATTTTTGAGATATAAAAAAAGTAGCTAAGTATTAAATAAAAAGTCCTGTAATGTTAACTTTGCTTTTATAAATAGTGTATATTCATATTTTCTTTTCAAAATATGTATTTTC